CAGGCCATTTACCATTTTACCATTTACAGTTCTCAGAAATCTTAGAAAAATGATTTAATAGACTTGATACATATGTTGAGAAACATAATAAGTGATAATACGGCAGAGCGGATATGCAACAGTTAATGAGGAATATACTGCTGGTGTTTTATTCACTTTAACATTGATGATATTATATTACTGAATAAACCAGACAGATGTGGTATAAGAGGGATCGCATGCACGTGCATGAAAAGTTACCTGGATCAATAAAACTTGTGGTGTTCCTCAGGGCTCTGTGCTGGGCCCTAAACGATTCATATATAAATGTGTTTGTTTGCTGATGATGCCGCTGTGTATTAATCAGATAAAAACCTTGAACAGCTTCTGACTGCAGTGGAAAAGGAGGTAACTGTACCAATAAGTTATTGTTAAATATAAAACAAAATGTGTTATTTTTGGCACCAGACAGATGAAACGTGGCTAAAATCAGGGCTGATGGAGCTGAAATTGAAAGAGAGAATAAATGTGTTGGAGTTATCATTGATGACACGCTGAGCTGGAAGTCTCATATGAACCATGTGAAAATGAAACCTGTCAAAAACCATCAGCTGTTAGCTGTGCAGAGATCAACCAATCAAAGCTGAACAGGAAATCATCACTTTATTGTTCTCTGCTTTTCCAAATATGACTGATTGTCTACAGATACGGGCTAATGCATATAAAACCAAAGTTACAAAAAAGTAAGAATTATGAATCGAACTTTATGGAAAAACTAACATTGTGCTTATTAATCTGAACCCTGAACTGTCAGGATGCAGCTGAATATAAAACGGACAAACATAAAGACGTGTTTCTGTGGGAGGAGCTAACGTGTGGCATCGCTGTGACTGCTGTAGTTCATGTAAATCAAGAATGAAGACGAGTAATAATAAAAACACTGAAACTCTTGTTTTGCCTGGATTATTGTGATGAAATGTAATTTAATGTAGTGACTTATCTAAGGTGGAAGTTTACCTTTGTTGCTCTTTTGCTTGGAGCCTGATGTAAATGCTTGCTAAATGATCTTTTGTTAAAGGTTTTGCATAATAAGCGTGTGCTTCAGCCAATAGCTTCCTGATTAGCCTCATGTGCTGGATCACTGAGATCTGAATGCTCATCAAAATAAATCAATTTTAAAAGTGTGTAGACGGTAATCTGGATACAGATCCCTTTATATGGCAACCACATATAGCCAAACACCTCCACACACAGTGACAGTGTGAAGAGTTGCACCTTGTTTTTCATCGTATAATAAAGTTCTGCATTTACATGTACAGGTTTGTAGGTGACATCCCTCCATCCTGGGAATCAGAGCTCTTGAGCTGAGCTCCGGCTGTTGGGCTGCAGGTAACGACTCTGTCGTCTACGGACGTCTCGGACACGTCAGGGAAAAGAGCTGAAGTTCACAGTGAGCTG